AATCACCAGATCCAGGATACTTGATGTCTGATCATCTCTAAATCTCGTTGGATGATTGATGTGTTGTATTAAAAATTTATCTTTAAGAAGATTCAAAAATCTGTTTTCAACCCTCTCATCATTACCTTCAAAACTGGACGTGTCCCAGTTAATGTCAGGAAAATTAAAGTCCCCAAACAATAGGGTTTCACCAGGTAATGCCAGCACATCATTTATCAACTTCAGCAAAAGATCATTATTTCCAACATTAGAGTTTGGACTTCTATAAACAAAGAAAATATTTAAAACTCTATTGGAAACACATAGTTTAACTATTATGTACTCTTTGAATGATGAATTTAAATTTATTTCAGTTAATAGTAATGATCTCTTACAAAACAACATTAAACCTCTTCTGTGTTGTTCAGCAAAACCAGAAGAAATGATTGAGTAATCATCCAGACAGAACTCTGATAAAACTCTACATTGATTGAAATTTTTAGGATTAACTTCACTCAAAGCAATTAGATCAGGTGCAACATCCAAACTTTGTAGAAAAATTTTTAGATCAAAAAATTTGTTTGTTATTGAGTCAACATTAGTCATAATGACACTTAAATTATTACTATTATTGCAACTTGAATTTTTTACTTTAGTAAATTTTGCTTCTTGAAAGCAATAACATAAAAGTCTCCTGGCACGCCCTTCAGTCTGAATGACCACTTTGATACATCATCTTTTTCACCAATTTCTTTTTTTTTCTCTTCCAAAATCTTCCTGTTACTTATTCTATCTTCCCTTGAAAGGTCATGGTTGATGATGACTTTATTAAAATTCAAGGATTTTTTCAGCTTGGCGCAGTTTAGGATGAGATTTTTAACAGTATAATTAGAAAACTGAACTAGAACGGGTCTTGATTTTTTTTCATCAGACTTTCTCCCCAATCTTGAAATTTCAACTACCTCTGTCCCCAAGTCTGTGCCTGAGATCTCTTTTAGTAGCTTGTTAACTGACTCTTTAATATTTTCCTTTTCAGACATGTTGTACAGAATGATATTATTTTTCCTCTTTTCTCTTTCATTAATAACATCCATGTTAGTTGATGTGGCCTGAATTGACTCCTTCATCATTTTTACATTAGATGAGAGCAAATTAACCCCACCCCTCACAACATCAGAATATTTCATCAACGTTTGTTCATTTTGCACAACAGTAGCTTTAGTAACTTTTCATAC